TCTTCGTGACGACTATTTCAGACACCGCGTCTGGCAATGCCGCTTGATCGTGTCTGACTGATTGTGCGCATATCATGAAGGGGCAGTCATATCTATGAAAAGGAACTATAATACTCATTCCGGAAAAGTGTAGTTAATTGACGGGAGATAAAATTTACTGTCCAGCATGAAGAGGAAGGAATAACAACACCTTATGCAGTCAATGAGTGAGACTAAATGCAACATGTTTCTCAAACCCAAGGGTGTACAGTAAAATACGTGTCTTCAAAAAGCAACTATAATTGCTTCAACCTCTTTACTACTTATTGCACAACACTTCGAGCACTGTACCCGAAGATTAATCCACTCCACTGGCAATACACCATTCTCAACGGTGCTTCCATTATTGGAAAGCCTCCTTGAACGCACTTTTGGGATGGCGCGCAAGCCGGTGATCAGGTTGCGCTGAATCTCCCCTACGGTTTGGAAACGACGTTCTTTCGAACCGGCTTAGGGTTTGGGAAACAAGATGTCTGCTGTGGCTATGTCCGGAGAATACGATGGATGAAGCACAATTGGAGTTTGGCGTTTTGCTAGTTAACTACGGAAATAAAGGAATGTGTTAGCCGGCACATTGTCATTATGCAACTTCCACATCTGGTTTTCCTAATTCAGACATCTACCTGCGCATAACATAGGTCAAATACTTTAGAATTCCGTCTTATACATTCCAAATGGACAGTGCTTCTTCATTCCAGGAATACAACCAACATCACCATTGGTCCTTGACCTGATCATGAGTGCTTTCTTCCATGAGGAGACCCGCTCGCAACCGAACACGTTAACTCCACATTTCTTTCAGCATCACAGCTATAAATCCACCTCTCATTGACTGCCGCGATGATCTTAAAGAAATATTCATGTTAATTGTCTGTGTCATTGTCAATTTATGGCTGAATTCAACACGCCTCTGTTTCTGATCGTCAGTCGACAGACTGGGTAGGAATTGTGCACTGACACGACACATCTCCAGTCTGTCACTCACAGTTTATGGTGTGATCCCATGATGGTGTCCAGTTCGTCAGTAAGTTCTCAAAGCAGACAAACAACGATTTTCGAGGATCACGTCACGGGCTCTCGCTTGACAAGGTCATCGTCTGTTAATGTGGAAGATCGCTCAGACTTGGGATCATCCAGACCGACATTCTGCCGTATTCAAAGCGCCTAAACATCTTATAGCAATGTGAGCGACTTAAACAGTCATCCCGTATGCTTGGTTAATCAATTGAAATGTCTCCGTAAATATTTTGCCAACTAGTTGTAGGATTTCGCACACACACACACACACACACACACACAAATTTTTCGTCAAAATCTTTCGCTGCCACTTGACACCAATCCGTTGAGTAACTTGTGAAAGTTCTCACTTCAATAGCTGTAGCCTGCCAAATAATGGTCAGAGCAAAACATGGAAAATGATGGTCCGTTGTCCAGACAAGGCTCTACGTGTGCTCAGTAGCCGCAGCCAGGTCTCTCTACCGATTGGCACACCATTTAAAAATTTCAGTTTCTTTCTGTATGGTTCTGCTCAAAGCCATGCAACACTTGAGAGCAGCCGATAAACTCAGTTAACCCCTTAAGCTAATTCCTTATTGTACACGGAAAGTGCAAAAGGAACAAGGTACGCTAGGTGACAATGATGTTACGCTTAACAAAGTCTACGGATTCCTTTCATACGGACATCAGTTGATCCGTTCTGTACCTCTACTTACCGACGAGAGATGGATGCTCTTGTGCCATTGCGTGGTGATGGACCAGTTGCCGAAATGTGTCTGCTGAGCAGCTAACGCGAGAGACTAGGCCGCAACACCGACCGATTGAACTGATGCCGTCAGTTGCACCATCAGGCCACAATCACATAGTCCACCACAACCACGGCGATGTGTGGGCGTATTGTGGGGTCATGTAATGTCAAGTGTATGCATGCTCACACTTAAGTTTGGAGAAACGCATGTACATATGTTGTATTCGAACTGCCATTGGACACGGACGACGCCAATCTATGTACATACGTAGACCGAATGAATTCGACTAGGATACTCACACCGCTTTTGTACGGCTAACTTAATGCAGTAAAACGACATTCGAGTAAACCGAAATTAACATTACCAGAACATGAAGAAGGTGAGCTTATGACAAACTCATGTTGATTTCAGGTGTTGCGAATCCAAGGTAAATTTGATCGATGCGAATTCCGTGAACTGCTCAAAACGGCGGTTTCTCAGGTGCCGGAGAAGGCATTATTGCATGCGGAATAGAAGCACCATGAGTATGTTCCCATTCAATTTACTAATCCAGGCCAATAAGGCGGCGTATGTGGTACGTTTGCCTGCGTGATGAGTAATCTTGCATTTCAGAAGTAGATGTTGTTTGAGCTCCCCTGTGTGGATGCGCCTGATGTGAACGTTGACAGGTGCCTACCTGTCTATTACCTACTATCTCGTCCATATTGGCTCCAGGAGACAGTTGGTCGTTGCTGGATGGGACGGGGTACACGGTCCTTGTGGTCGTGCTAGGATCGAAGAGTGCTTCCATACAATCAGTGTGGAGCGGACTACGGTCCAGCCACCGCCTTGTGTGCGCTTGAGTTCCCAAATACCGTGCTTGTGTTTGCCTGTGAAGGGGTGTGCGCCAGCTCCGTTGATGAAACGTGGCTCACACCCACATGCCTCCCGGTCTTATTCCTTCGGGTTTACACTGAATATGTGATGTGTGGTTGGAGCTGTGGGTGGTGCAGCGCAAGCCAACCGTGGTCCCTCTGTAGGCGCAGGCGTCCTGTGGCTGGCCACAGTGACAGAAAAATCCGAAACCGGATGCCACCAACCATGTATATATATATATATATATATATATATATATATATATATACATATATATACATATATATATATATATACATAAAATAATCTTGCATTTCAGAAGTAGATGTTGCTTGAGCTCCCCTGTGTGGATGCGCCTGATGTGAATGTTGACAAGGTGCCTACCTGTCTATTACCTACTATCTCGTCCATACTGGCTCCAGGAGACAGTTGGTCGTTGCTGGAGGGGACGGAGTGCACTGTCCTTGTGACGGTGCTAGGCTCAAAGAGTGGTTCCATCCTGTGTGGAACGGGCTACGGTCCAGCCACCGCCTCGTGTACGTCTGGTGTGTATGATTTCCCAATTAGGCCGGAATGCTTCTGTTCTGCTTGTTGAAGGAGTGTGGGCCGGCTCCGTTGATGAAACGTGGCTCCCATCCGCATGCCTCCCGGTCTTATTCCTTCGGGTTTACACCGGATATGGGGTGTGTGGATGGAACTAGGGGTGGTGCAGCGCAAGCAACCCATGGTCCCTCTGTAGGCGCAGGCGCCCTGTGGCTGGCCACAGTGACAGGTAAATCCGAAACCGGATGCCGCCAACGATATATATATATATATATATATAATTTTATTTATTTAAAGAAGTCTCCTGTTCAGTAAACCGAAGAGGACATTCCTTTGAAAGAGACGGTAGGATAAATATCCACTCTCGGCACAGTTACCGACGGTTCTCGTCGGTCACGGATCACAGATTGCCTCCGAATGAAAGAAAAGGGGTAACCGGCATCCTGTGGTGTCCTAAGCATGCATTACCTTTCGCCTTCCCTAGTGTCTGGACTACCAATTTTGCTGACAAGATAATACTGAGAACGAATTAAGTTTCCTCTGTACTTCAACGGTACAAAACTGTGAAAATGTGTATATTCACCTGTCCAAGTACAATTTCGATAGACGCTCCTATAGAATGAGCCGCCCTCTCGTCTGCTTAGCAATATGTCTAGAAAGCCTAGCATTCCTTCCCTTTTAATATCGCTTATAAACACCTGAGAGCGGTGTTTGCTATTAAACTGATCTAACAGATGAGCAACAGCAGTGTTTCTTTTTAATCATAAATTAGAAAAGCATCGACAATGTACCTGCAGTAGAAATCAAGTGAGACGATAATTGTTCGGAGAGGCCCACCTTCACGATGGTCAAGGAAATTGTCAATAAGCAATGAACCCAGGTGCGACCCCATTGCAGTGCCAAGCGCTATCCTAAAGAAGTTAATAGGCACCTACTAATGACGGCTGAGATCATTTCGATCCGGCTAATGCAACATGAACTCTGCAAGCTGAGGGTGTAGGGCGCAAGTTGATGTAGACAATTAAGCTAGGTGACGCCAAGCTAGGTAAAGAAAACGCGCCGGCATGACACATTTTCTGCGTCAACGGTAAGCACTCAACTGACCTAACTAACAAGCGCTTATAGATGGGAATTGTTTACTGTTAAAATCATCCATCACTTGAAAACCATATATGAAGACGAAAGCGGGTGCAAAAGGTGTACAACTATCGACTTCCATTATTTCAATTGCTGTTCAACCTTGTTTATTCAGCATACTTTATAAGCCACCCATTTATGCCCCAGTAGACAGATGTAGAAGAACGTTACGTTGCAGATGCATCTGAACTTTCCTTGACATACACCTCAATTATGTGGTGCAGACTGATTACGCAGGGAGTGTTCCAAACAGTTGTGGAAGAATTTTAGGCGATTGGAAAATGTTAACTACTGTGAGGCCGTCTTGCAACAAGTAACACAGTCCACTGCATGATCATACGAATTTCAATGCAAAGTGTAATTGAATAAATCATGCATTGAATAATTTGTCACCTTGAGTTGTGGGGTCTCGAATGCACTAGAGTGGTGCATCGGTTACGACTAGTCTCTCAAACGCATGCTTTTGGAAGAGTTTAATCACCTCCTCTATGCAAACATCCGAAACAAGTTAGGATGGAATGGCTTCTCCGCTGAACTGCGTGTAACAGTCATTAAAATCGGCCGCATGTAGTTTCGAGCCAGCATATCAGAAATATACATACAGGGCAAAAACTTCGCTATCAATTGAGGTAAAAAAAACGACAAGAATTGTTGATAGAACACCATGACTTTCAAACTTACTTTTGGGGCTGGCTGAAGTACGAATTCTTCTAAATTTTCCGTCGGATCCAACCGTGTATGCGGGTTGATCTGGTCAGCAGCTTTGGGGATCCCTGTGGACTGAAACGGGGATGAGAATTAAGCAAAACTAGTCCCGATAGATGCCGCGAAATAACTGAAACAAACGCTTGTATGCAGCAACGTCGAACTTGAACCCTAACAACAGGGGGTCTAAATACCGAAGTTTGCGAGTTGGTGTGCCCTGTGTCAGTTGGAAACTGGCGCACTTCGTCCGTGGGCTGATCGGATGGACGAAACAGTATTGACGGTTTCGCAACAGCTCGCCTGTGTTTACGAGAGGGAATCCTTTTGCCCATCGACAGTATCCGAGCTGTTCGTGCCAGTTGAATGATCGGAGGCGATTTACACGATGCTTTTCTGCTCGACGGAGCAGTTACTTTCTTTGCATTTTTGGGTACAGGTGCGCGAAAGCTGTCAAGTGTGTCAGACGCCAGCAACGAAAGGTATGATTCAGTGGCACTAGCAGCGTTATGGAAAATTGGGTTAGAATTCTTTTGACCACCCACGTTTCCTCGTTTTCGCGGACCATGGGGTTTCGGAGATTTGAAGGATTCCACCTGGATGACGAGGCTCTGAGCATCACCAGCATCATTCTAGAAATGGTGTTTTAGAGGGGAAGTACAGTAGCACTCAGAAATCAGTGTACCGCTCACTGATCCCGGCGGTTTTGTTGCAAACGTATCAGTGCGTTTAAAATGACTCTTCCACTGGTGATGAAACGACGGCAACAAAAGTGTCAAACTCAGTGAACAGTTCAACTAATAAATGAATAATCTAAGCTATCAAAATGTGCTTGAATAGAAAAACACGGTATCGACCCGCAGCTGGGGGAATCAATTGTCAAACTTTTATCATGCTCCTTAAGTGACTCACTTGCATTATAAAC